TACTTTCAGTTTTCTTATCTGTAAAATGAGGATTATAATCTAGCTTTATAGAATCAGAATCATTAAATGAGATGCTTGAAATGAAATGATTGCTCAAAATGGTTAATTCCCCTCCTGAGTTACATCTGGTATACTACAGATTTACAGTGAAAGGAGCTATAGCTAGTAAAATGAGATTAGTGTTAGGTTTATACTTTATATAAGTTTTAAAATTAATTTAAGTATCATGCTATTAAGACTTTACTTTCACACAGTTTATCTCAGTGTAATCAGTCACTGCTCATCGTTCATAGTGCTTGGAGGTTTCCTTTAGTATTTCCATAATTCACTGTCTACTTTCTCATCTTCAGATCTGTGTTTTTCACATTTGTTATTTTTGTTTTGTTCAGCGATATTGTAGTAGCATCATTTTTCACTGTTTTTCAGTATATAATTTTTCAGTGTATATTGCAGCTAGCTAAGCTGGGCCTAGTCACTATTTATAAGTTAATGATGCGAAAATGTTTCTAATTTCCAAATAAGAATTTTTTGAAGATATCTTTATTATATAAATTGGAAATTGATTTTTAAGCTTATTCAACTTCAGAATGTTTGCTGATTTAGTAGCTTAGTAGTATACTTTCCTTTATACATATCAATCATTTTGTCATTGACTGTTTAAAATCCTTCTCCATATTGTTGACATGTGTTGTGAAAAGAATAGTTTATTTTGACTTATTATCTCCTTTTATTCTAAACCTTTTTACTCTCTGGTTCTTTATATCCATGCAGTGATGCCAGTGCTTACTAGGAATTATTTCTTTATGCATCTCAGTCTTACCCTTTAGCGTCCCAAAGTTTGTGAGGCATTTGTAAGGGATAAAGGATTTCCCATCTTTATCTGTTCACCATGTGAGCTGTTCTAGTGACAAATGAATTCTGGGCAGTGAATCGAGAAGGACACAGATGTCAAAGCCATGAATTTATAAATGGTCTGTTAAGAGGGTGCTTTGTCCAATCAGCGCTTTGTTAATTTCACCTACAAAAAGGAATAATTATTCAATTATGCTTCTATCTGACAAAAATCAAATGACAAATGTGTCAATGTGAAAGTAAAGGGTTAGTCAGGATTCTGGCAGGTGGCCCAAAATTTTAGCCAGCTGTGAGGAGGTGGATATGGAACTAAACTGACCTATAATACTGATTACAGGTCCTTTATGAATATTCATGATTCTTAGTAACAAAGATAAAAAATAATTTCATTTCTAAATGCTAACAAATAAACCATGATTTTCTGTATCTTTGTGAAATGTAATTACTTGAAAAATATACCTCAACCCTAGAAAAAGTATAAAGTCAGATTCCTCTTTCATTTGTTTCTACTTATTACCAAGCTATTTTTAAAGTTTTTTAAATTTATTTTAATAAATTGCATTTTTTCCTTATGAAAACATTATCCTTATTTCTTGCTAATATTACTAGTATATCATAGTGCTTGATACAGAGCCAGAGGTCAGCAAACTTTTTCTACAAAGGCCAGACAATAAATATTTTCAGCTTTTTAAGCCCTCCAGTCTCTGTTCCAAATACTCGGCTTTGCCTCTAGAACACAGTGTAGCCATAGACCATAGGTAAATAAATGAGGAGTGGCAATGTTCCAGTTAAACTGTTTATAGAAACAAGCAGGGGCTGAATTTGACCCATGGGCCATTGTTTGCCACCCCTTGATATAGGGACTAATGATATTTTAAATTTTTCACAAAGATTTTTAATAATATCTGAAATAGAAGAACTAGTTTGAATGTCTGTGCACTACTGACTCGGAAGGATACTCAGTTTCCCATAGACCATAGTGTGAATGGCATTCCCTGAAGTAGCACAATATGGTGGCTCTGATAATGACCTCCCTCATCCATTTCTCCCTTGTCCATATCAGGGGTGTCCATATCTGGCCTGCTGCCTGTTTTTGTAGATAAAGTTTTATTGGAACATAGCCAAGCCTGTTTGTTTATTTATTGTCTGTGGCTGGTTTCACAGTTCTAGCAGCAAAGATAAATAGTTTCAACGAAGACCATATGGCCCACAAAACCTGAAATAGTTACTTTACAGAAAATGTTTGCTGATCCCTGCTCTGTACCCTAACTATATTCGTCTTTAAGGATGGAGTTATAGGGCAAAATGTGTGAAACTTGTATGATTGTCATATTAAGTCCAACAAAAGATAGCTAGAAGTTGCCAAGTATCCGAAGTTACTTTAGAATTCTGTTTCTGCTTCAGTGTTTTTCACCAAAGGATCTGGTTTAAGAAACCAAACATGTGGGGCGCCTGGGTGGCTTAGCCGTTCAGTGTTTGCCTTTGCCTTGGGTAATGATCCCGGGGTCCTAGGACTGAGCCCTGCATCCGCTCCCTGCTCAGCGGGAAGCCTGCTTCTCCCTCTCCCACTCCCCCTGCTTATGTTCCATTTCTTCACTGTCTCTATGTCAAATAAATAAAATCTTAAAAAAAAAAAAAAACTAAACTAAACATGCTTTCCTGTAGCTAATGTTCTTGCTGGCTCAGCATAGTCAGCAACAAAACAGATACCTTGAAGAATTTGCATTAGTCAGGAATTTAAACAGTCAGGAAACCTAACCATGTGGGTGGAAGAGGACAGTAGAAGTAACTCAACAGTCCATGGTAGCCCAGTACCCAGTGCTGTGGCCCAGTGCACTGATCACATCTGCCTCACGTGCCCCTTAGGCAGGACTTGAGAAAGTTCTTATCATGACATAGCACCAAGTATTTTTTCTAGGTGTCTCACACATCAGGCTTGAGAGGAGCAATCGCTTTGATGCCAACAGATCTTATCATGGGCTTTATTAGGAAGACAGTTTAGTACTGCTATGATTGAATGATAAATTCCAAAGGCCGTGGATAGAAACAAAGTTTGGAGGAAGGGGAGGCTTATTTCTCTGCTGTTTAAGTGTAAAAACTAGTTAGTAATCATGGAATTATTTCTTTTTTGCATTTATTTGATACATCTATACTTGCTTTCAGTTTATTGATCTAAGAAGATGTGATTTCTATTTTAATATATGAATCCCCTGGATTTTATTTGACGGACAAAATTAATTTTGTTATTTATTTGTCAGAGAAAAATATTTTTAAATTTTATTTATTTTTATTTATTTATTTGAGAGAGCAGTGTGAGCAAGAGAGAACACAGGTGGTTGGGGGGGGGAGCAGAGGGAGAGAGAGAAGCAGGCTCCCCACTGATTAGGAAACCTGATGTGGTGCTCCATCCCAGGACCCCAGGATCATGACCTGAGCCACCCAGGTACCCCCAATATTTTTTTTAATTTGGTGCCATACTTTTACTCTTGTTATTAGAACAGTTTCTTCCCAAATCACTGTCTTCCATCACCTCTCTTAATACTCTCCTGATTTTCTTCTTGCTTAGGTAGCCCCAGCCATTTATTATCAGCCTCCTTTCCTTTTATACAACCTTTAAATTCTAGTACTCATCGTGTACTCTCCCTACATGACTTCATGAGCTCCTATAACTCACATTTCCATTCATATGATCATCATCCCAAATTTATATCTTGAACCCAGATCATCTCTTAAATTTCAGTCCTGTTTATTTAGCTGCTTATTGGATATTTTTACCCATTTGTCCCATAAGCACTGAACTCTTTTGTTCCTCTTGAATCTGCCCTTATTTATTCCCTAATGTAAGGGATAGTACCAAGATCTTCCCCACTGCTAAAGCTAAAAACTGTTGTCCTTGACTTTTCCCCCTTCATTACCTCCACAGCCAGCCAATCCTGTGAGTTCTTCCCCCTAAATATCCGTCGAACAGTGCAGGAGTTAGGGGCATCAACTGCCCCACCCTCTGTGTGGTCAAAAATCTGTAACTCTTGACTCCCCCAAAACTTACTACTAATAGCCTACTGTTGATTGGAAGCCTTAACATAAAGAGTTGATCATTACATTTTGTATATGTATTATATACTGTACTCTTCAGAGAAAAGGTGTTATTAATAAAATCCTAAGAGAAAACACATTTACCAAAAAAAAAAAAAAAATCCATGTGTAAGTGAACCCGTCTTGTTCAAGGGCCGGCTGTTTATATCTCCCCCTTTCCTTTCCCACAGCCATCACTCTACTTCAGATCACCGGGGTTATTACAACTGTCTCACTTTGTCTTTGTCTTAATCTTGTATCTTTCCATTCATTCTCCACATTGTATTCAATCTGGCGTTTCCAAAACCAAAATCTGATCAGGTTGTAACCCTGTGTAAGATTGTTCACAGGCTTGTTGTTAGTCTTAGAATAAAATCCAGTTTGCTAACATGGTCAATCCAGCCGTGTTTTCTTTCCTCCCCGCTTACCTTTGTAGTCTTATATCTCATTCTCTTCAATTGGAGTGTATATTAATTGTGACCCCATATGCACGCTGCTCACTCTGCCTAGAACACTCCCTCCCTGCTCCTAATTCATGTGGTCTTCAGTTCTTATATACTATCCTGCACCTCTACTATAGCCATACCTGAATTAGCTTTTTTTGCTGTGAGCTCCCTCAGTATCTTCTACATCCCCTTTCTTACTATTTATTACATCACCAGTAATTGCCCCTTTTTAAATGATTTGTCTCTTTCTACATGTTTCAGAGTAATGTATAAAGATTTAGTATCTTTGTAAAGTTAGCATATTATAAGTTTAATATTAACAAATATCTTCATTTCCAGTTTATTTGATTTTGCTCTCTTGTTTTAATTATTGTAATAAGAACCCATTGTTGAAATCCTTCTTTTAGTCTTGCCATCACTGTAATGGAAATCTTTTTTTTTTAAAGAGGCTACAAAATGGAACTTGGTTATTTTCCCTGATCTATATCTGTGTCAATCCCCCACTACTAGTAATCAATTGCTAATAATTCATACTGATGATTTGGGGATTTGTATTTAGCCTTTTAAAAAAAGTATATTTTGCCACAAAGGGAGATAATGATAAATTGTTGGGAATTTTATCTGTTACAGTCTACCCTGATATTTGCACTATCAGCCTTGTGGCAGTAAGTGATATGAATAAACATGCCGATAGAATTGCTTTTTGGGATAATGTATATGGCTTCAACATGTCCTGTATGAAGAAAGCAGTTATTCCAGAAGCTGTTGTGGAAGTTTTAGATCCAGACACTCTTATTTCAGATGCTTGTAGTATTAAGGTAGGTGTTTTTACCAATTGTATTTTAACAGAATTGCCATTTTTATCAGTTTTCATTTATGAGTTCAGTATTTGAAATTAACATATTGATATTGTATATGGGCTTTCAAAACAGTGGTTATCCTTCCTATATTAACCAGTCTAATGTACCTTGAGGTTACAGTATTTACCAGTTGACTGTATCATCCATTGGAATCACTTATCTTTTTGTATATCACAGTTCCTTACTCTGAGGGGTTTGAAGGTGAAAAGTCCTGCTGTATTATCATTTATGCTTCATCACTACCTCCATGGCCTTATTCTAGTTTCTCATTTACAGTGAGATTATTCATTCATATCATATGTTCTATGCAGTTTAACATCTCACGTTCAAATCTCTTCCAGCTTTTCAGATTAAGTAATTACACTGAATTTGCCTATGAAGCTGAAGCCCTACTCTGTTCAGATTTCTCAGTTAATTCCTTTTGTGTTTTAAAATCTTACCGTTCATCATGTTACTCTTTAGTTTTATTGTGAATTTTGCTGTGTCAGATTTACATAGGTTAAATAATAACTTTGCAGTGAAAAGTCATTGCTTTTCTTAAAAAATCCTTAATTTGTCTGTTTTAATTAGATATAGTTTGTTCAGTTTTAGGTTCAGAGCATTGTCTGATATTTGTAGTCACACTTTCATAGCATCAATAATTGTTCTCTGCATAGAATGGATATTCAATAAATATTTGTTAATTTTCTTCATAGATAAAATATTTAAAGTTGGCATATTATAATAAACTTTAAAAGTTTCTCAACAAGAGCAAGCTGATTAAAATTGCATTTAGCTTTTAAGAAAAAACTGTAACCTGGTTAATGATTATAGTACTGTTGAATCCTGTGGTACACTGATAATAAGAGATTTATTTGCATTCCTTGATTCTGGGTAGGAGTGTACAGTTCCAGCCAACTCAGCCTCAAGGCTGTGCAGAAAGAGGAGGGTAGTGGGGGGAGGGACTATTTTTCTCTATAGTGCTCTCTCTTTGTTTAATGCCCAAAACTTCTATGAATAAATAGTTGAAATAGAAGATTTTAGACTAATAACAAAGATGTTCAAAAAGTACACATACTCTTTCTCTTTTTTTTAAACGTTAATCAGTATTTATTTACTTGTTTGCTTGGGTAAATATATTTTGTTCCATGTTCCACAATGCTCTATAAATAAAACTCAGCCACACTGTAACTTCTTTAAAATTTTTTCAAGCTATTTAAAAGAGGGTAATGGCTCAAGTACATAGTCCTATGAATTGTGTATGCTGTGTCATAATCTACTCATGGCAAGTCAGGCCTTCATGACCTCCCTGCTCTCCAAAGTGAAATGAAGAAGGAATTGAACCAGGGCAGAACAGAAAGATAAGGCTCTTTGGCCATTGTTTTCCTGAGTTGAATCTTCTTCCTTGGCTTGGCTCTTTGATTTTATTTGTTACGGTTTTTCCTAATATCTAACAAACTTTCCTTCAAATGCAGTTACAAAAAGGAATTCTAAAATACCTTATCCTTTTCATTAGCCTATGTTTTCAAGTTGGCATTTTCTATAAAAATGTTGACTCTTATCATGTATAATTTATAGCAAATGTGTACCACTAATGGTATACAAAATTATTTTAGTTGGAAAACAAGAAAAGAATTTTATTTGAAGATGTTTTAGTGTATCTCATAAAAACTGTAGCACATCAGAGCCATGATTTGATATATAGTGTTCTTACAAGAAGTCTTAAGTAAAAAAATACTCATTTGGTTTATACAAAAATTAAATGATAGTGCTAGTAGCCTTTAAATTTGAAAACAACCCCAGAAAAGAAAAAGAGGGGGAAAAAAAACCAACCCCAGAAGTGAGGTTCGAATGATTAAACTTTGCAAACCATTGGTTTACAGTAATCCTTTTTGCATAAGAAATATTTATCTGTTTGGTTTTGGGTTTGTTTTCACTATTTTTACTAAATTCTTCCTTCCACTCTTTCTTAATGGGTAGCAAATAGATTGCCATACAACATCTGTCTCAGCTTTGGAGTTTTCTTCAGATTTTACCCTGCAAATTACAAAGACATCCATATGCACGGTAAGCGGTTTCATCTCCTTTCACAAATCTCACTAGCAGTGCAGTTGATGGGCAGGCTAATGAATTAATTACCGGACCTGTGATGAATGAAAAAGACTATTGCCTTCGACAGTCTATCTTTGCCTTTGTTAGGCTATTGAACAGATCTGTTTTGATGGGTCAGTAGACTTCAAAAAAGTTAGTTTAGTTGAGAGGAGAAAGTACTAGGACACCATGTTTGCAATGATTTTTCTTTATAGAGTCTTCCTTATTGCCTCTCATGTAACTAATTGAGAGTACTCGTCTTTATCTTCATAGACAAGTTCATGTCCTACACCTCCTGATAACTCTTAACACTCAATATAGATGGAAGTAAAATATGTTCATTTGGTATAATATTTTATATTCCTCTGTAAAATATAAGAAAGAAATGATGATTTACCTTTTTTTAAAGAAGCATCCTGGTGTAATGGGCATTAGAAAAGTTAGTCTGGATTCCCATTTGGTTCTGGCACTCACTAGTTCCTTACTTTGCTCAAGTTACCTAGGTAATCTATACCTCAGACTAATCAACTGCTTTAAGAGAAATAGTAATAATTTCTATCTTGTAGACTAGTTACACAGATTAATGAATTAATATATGTGGAAGCACCTATAAAGTAGCCAGAAATGTTAGGTTATTAAAATATATTAATTTTTTTCTTAAATATTTTCTAACTGTTTATTAATACTAAGATAACAGTATTTTTTACCAGGAGACTCAGAATGTTAATAAAATGTGAGCCTTTACTTAAGAAAGTATGATTTTATGTAAGTGGTATTGATACAAATATTTATATTAAAAATTAATTGTATAGTTTTTGAAATACTAATTGTACCTTCAAAATTAAAATTTTACTGAAAACTATATAATCTATAACTGTGTGAAACAGATTATAGTCATGTTGACTTTGACTCTTGAACCTGACTTTTTAAAAGATAGACATACAAAAGATTTTATGACTTCTTAAAAATTGTTTCTGTTCACTTTGATCTAATAATTATTTTATATCAAGTGAGTGTAACGGTGTGCTTTGATGTTTTGAGGAATTCTTTTCATTGAAATTGTTTTTACAGTTTTTAAAAAGTAGCTATCTAGATCCCAGATTTTTTATTTTATTTTTATTTTATTTGGGGATACCTATTATATTTGTTTAACTGATAAAAACAAAATTTCATTCTTCCCATTCATTTCTCCCAGATTTTCCAGTTGTCCTTTATAGTAACTGAAATAATTTGTTCAATTGAAATTATAGACTAAAGGTTTTAAGTCTTAGAGTTAAGCTCTGTGTTTGATGCTAGTAATCCTTGAGAGTTAAAAAAAGATGTCTTGATTAATGACAGTTGATTGATCTATAAGGGAATTCTTAGATAGAAATTGGCATATTACCAGTATTATTAAGTAATATTATTTTAGGTCATCTTTCCGTGCCCTTCACATGAATCAGAGGAGAGCAAATGTAAAACTGTAGTGAAGACTTGAAAAGCTGTTTTTAGCTGTGGATATTTTTTAGCTTTAGGTAGAGGAGTTTACTGAGTTTTTTTGAAATGTTCTTTATTTTTTGGGTTATTGGTCAGGGTTCTTAGTTTTAGACAACAAAGTCCAAATCAGCTTGTTAAAGCAAAAGGTGATTTACTGAAGAGTTAAGCAACATAATTCCAGACACACTGGGAGAGCTAAAGGAATAGACAAAATACTCTCAAACCGCATCTTAGAACTAGCTTGGCCACAAAGCAGGCCTGTACCACTGCAGACCCTGTAAACCTGAGAGCCCTTGGCCCTCTCAGTGAGTGGTAGGCCCCACTGACGAACCCAGATGAGCAGAGCTCTTCACTCCCATCCTGTTCCTATACCCCCTGCCCACGTCATGCTGTCCAGTTCCTCTGTCCAGATCTTCATTCAGCACCTCTGGCAGCACATAGGTCCAGTTGTACACTAGTGATTAAAAAGTCTCAGCAAGCAGTTTTAGCTGCAGTAGTGTTGTGCTACAGAAGAGTTTCACGGTGCATATATAGAATTATTTTCTATTCCTGTTACTTGCCATAGAGTAAAAGAAGCTTTTTGTTGAAATAAATTGTACTTTCGCTTTAATGATCTTGGTTTTATTCTGCATGTTTAAAAGAATAAAATAGAAACCAAACACAAAAAAGCTCATAAAGTCTAACACAAAAACTGTAATAGAAATTTTTGTATTAAAGAACATATCAAGTAGGTACTTGCTGCATTTGTTCCCCTAAAGAGTTCCATAAGAAAGATAAATCCAAAAGAAACTGTTATATTACCTTATTTCTTTAAAGAGCCTTTTAGATTAATATTTTTATTCCCAGCATGCCTGAATGATTTCAGTATAAAATTCTGGAAACGAGGTAAGTCTGGTGTTTAGGTAGGAGGTGGTAGAAGGTTGAAGTGGTCTTGTGTATAAGTCTGATCACTGCTGAAGAACATACTCCTGTAATCACCTTTGAGAGGAATGTATAGTTTCAAACCATATTTATTGGATACATGCCAGGTACTGAACATAGAAATTTTAGTACTTATTCAACTTTAACCCTTCTGAGATTATTCTGTCAAATAATTTGTCAACAAAAATTGTCTTAGTGATAATGTCTTAGTCATTGAACACTTGCATGCGAGACAACATGCTAATCACTTTAAAATGATTATTTCATTTAGTCTTCCTTTTTTTTTTCCATTTAGTCTTCTTAATAACCATTTGAAGTAGGTACTAATATTCCCATTTTTGGGGTGAAGAAAAATAAATCACTGTGTCTTGTGAAATATCCTGACCCCCCTAAAAAACAACTCTGATAGGATTGTACAAGCTATTAAGGGAAGATACAGAAACTTATGAATGAGATATTTGAGGTGTGGAAGAAGAGAGGTAGCCTGTTGCATTTGAAACAGATCTGAAAAATCTAAAATATGTTGCATATGAAACAGGTCTGAAAAATGTGATTCTCAGCTAATAGTCTAGCAGTTGTTGGTAGGGAGAGAGAGAGTGTGATCAAAATACGCTCTTTCTCAGAGAAAGGGCTAACAGATTTATATGATAAAGTAAGTGACATAGCCCATCTTCTTTGTTGCAAAGAAAAAGTAGATCTTCAAAAAATTTTTTTCTTCATATTTTCAGAGTGTATTTTTTGTTTTTTCAGTCAAGCATCTACATGTCTTAAGAACTTTCTTTCCCTCCCAGCATGCTTACCCTAATGTGAGCCTGGCATGAATAAGGGTTTGTGGCCTGTAATACCTTTATTACAGTTTCATTATTTGTGAGTCCCAACTATCCATCCATATCTACTCCAACTATCTTTTGCTCTTTGAGGTGGTGCCTACTCCATACACTCTTCTGCTACCAACCATCTGGAGCTATTATACAAGCCTAGTCTCTAAGGCTACTTTTAAATAGATTATTCGCCTGGTTACTTGGGAATAATCCACAACAAAGGTATTAAAAAGGATGAGTGCCTAATTGGAACTTTGTTTCTCCTTTATAGTGTAAGAAGAATTAGTGAAAATACTTAAAAAAAAAAAAAAAAAAAAAAAAGGCAGTACCTGCCAAAGAGATGGAAAAGTTACTTTGGAGAGGAAGAGGTATGGCTTCTTTAGATAGGGTAAAGAAAAAAGTATCTGCTTTTCTACTGCTGAGTACAAACCTTCGAATATATTAAAAAATATTAAAATCCTCCTGCTTAAAACTTGAATGCATAGCCAAAAAGTAAGATGGATGATTACTCTGAGTAGTTAAGCCCATTTTAAATATATGCATAACCATTTATTTCTAATGAGATTCTAAATTTGTAGCCTAATTAAAATGTTAGAGGAAATTGAATTTTTCAAAGTAACAAGATGCTAAGAAAACCCCTTTGCATTTAATTTCAAAAGCATGTGTGCTGTAGACTGATAGTGTTTTTAGATGGCTTTCTCAAGTTTGTTAGAACCTTTAATAAAACATCTTTTCTTTGCAGTGTTCACCACCAACACACACAGGCACATACACACACCACAGAAGAAATTTGATAGCATTTTTAATGTAGTGTTTTTGTATTAATAAACTTTTTTATGTTTTGGGGAATTTAACAGGTTATGATAATTATATGTGTCTTGGATCTTGGTTAAAGGATAATTTTCCAATGACTAGTAGCACATACATAGCAATTTTTTAACATTTTTAATGTATCTTTATTATTGACAGTTTAGGTCAAATTGCCTTTGCTTTTACGATGAGGTATGAATTGTTAGCATCTGACTATGACAACAGGCTGCCTAACATTGCAGTAAATGAGCAATCGAGTCCATTATTACGTGAAAAGTTTACAAGTGTTCAAAGGGAAGTGGTTTAAAGCCATACAACTTAGAACTAATATGTTATATTTTGTGAGTTCTAGTGTATTTTTGTCATTTATGCAATTGTGTAATATTCTCCCTTTGTGTTCCATCAGGGTTTATACTGGCATCTGTGTGTATAAGCTCCTTAAAGATATAGGCAAGCATATGCATTGAATGACTCTTCATACTGCCTTTTATGTAACAAATGAGTTGTTTACCTTTAAAAGGAAAATATTTAAGATGATTTTATCAGATTACATGTGTAAATCTTGTGTGTAGGACATGTAAAGATTTTGATATATTTTGATATATTGATATAATTTGATATATATTTGATATATTGATATAATATTTGATATATTAACTCTTAGAGCAGTCATTTTTATATATATATATTTTTTTAAGATTTTATTTATTTATTTGACAGAGAGAGATCACAAGTAGGCAGAGAGGCAGGCAGAGAGAGAGGGAAGCAGGCTCCCCGCAGAGCAGAGAACCCGATGCGGGGCTCGATCCCAGGACCCTGAGATCATGACCTGAGCCGAAGGCAGAGGCTTCAACCCACTGAGCCACCCAGGCGCCCCGATCATTTTTATATTTTTAATTTCAGCATTATATTTTCTTTTATTCTGCATCTCTGCTAGCGTGCACTAAC